GTGCATGTATCTGTTCTTGTTATGGCTCTCACTTCTTTAGGGTATATACCTAGTAATGGGATGGCTGGGTCAAATGGTATTTGTATTTCCAACTTTTTAAGGAATCGCCATACTGCTTTCCACAATGGTTGTACCATTTTACAGTCCCACCAGCAGTGTATGAGAGTCCCAATCTCTAGGTTGTGGACATTTTTAAGTCCATTATTAGTAAAAATTGTCACATTGCTTTCCAGGACGAGACCATCTGCCTGCTATGCTGCCACTGTCAAGGATCAGTAAGATGAAATAAAACCAAACATCATTCAATTTGATGGGTGGACAATGGCATAGGATTTAGTTTTAATTCTTTTATCTTTCTTTAGTAGTGAGGTTGATTTTTTGGGTATGTTTCTCACCCATTTCTATTTTGTTCTTTCTGCCTTTATCAACTTAACCCTTGTCCTATGTTTGTTGTGAATTCTCTAAGATATTTTAAGTCTTGCCAGTTCCTTAGGGTCTCACAGAAATCACAAAGGCTGTTTTTGGAGTCACAGCGACTCCCAGTGGTAAAGCCTGGTAATGGTTCAGGATGTGGCTGTTGTTAGGGAGCAGGATGTGGCAGGGAGAGGGAAAGGCTGGCGTGAGATGCCCTTAGCAGTCCAGAATGAGCCAACTGGAAGGGCCGTTACAAATCCGCTGGTTCATTGAACTCAGAGGGATGCCAACATCAGGTGGAGCCTGGAAGAAAATGGCGTTGGTCAACAAAGAGTTGTTTGTAGTGTTGATTCTAGTAATTCATGTCTCCAGAATCCCCAGATGGAAGATCCAGCAAAAACATGGAAAACATTTCACTCCTTAAACTCAGGGCTGAGGATGTCCCAGAAGGGAGGCCGAGGGTGCACCTCATGGGGACCCTGGGGGACCACCAGGACTGCTCGTGTTGCCTGCCCTTGCTGCTCCTGGACCCGGACGCTGGGAAAGCACGCCTGGTGGGAAGGGCTCCCTGGGGCTCTGTGCCAGCCTCTCCCATGAGTGCCTGTAATCCCGGAGGTCTGAGTGCGCGGTGCACACAGGGACTGCATGCTCACATGGTCTTGTTGGGTGTGCCCCACAGATCTCGGCATCCTCCTTGGCGTGGCCTTGGGGAATGAGGGCTCGGAGGTGTGGCCGCTGGCCCAGCGAGAGGCATGCACCTTCACGGGCTACCTACGGGACAAGCTGCAGTACAAGAACCGGCTGCAGTACATGGTAATGTGCCCTTGCTCCCTGGTTCGTGGCTCACCCGGCACTGTGTCTGGAACTCAGGGTCCCACCCCGCTTGGCCCTGTGTTAGCCCTGACCATGGCACTTTCCCTGCCTTCAACACACACATCTCGTCAGTGCATCCATGCCTCCACATCTCCACCTTTGATCCCACCTCCATGTGGCGCTCACTCTGACTTGGGAATGGACTCCAGGAAACGTTTGGGGAACACCAGGCGCCTATTATTAGCAGGGAGGATAAAGGCCTAGAAACTGGAACATGCTGCTTTCCTTGTATGGTGGGGAAGCCCACCTGGCTCTATAAGTCTTACCCCCCCTTTTTTTAAACCATTGTAACCATTTTAAACTGTACATTTCAGAGGTTCCTTTCTTTTTTTAATCAGCCTTATTGAGATACTGAGATAGAATTTACATAGTATATGTTGTTGTTGTTATTTGCCGTCGAGTCGGCCCCGACTCATAGCGACCCCTCCTTGGGTTTCCAAGGCAGTATCACTACAGAAGTAGGATTGCCCAACCTTCCTTCTGAGGAGTGGCTGGTGGGTTTGAACTGCCAGCCTTCTGGTCAGCGTCAAGTGCCTTAGGCACTATGCTACCAGAGCTCATACATAATCACCCACATAGAGTGTACAATGCAGTGGTTTGCAGTCTGTTTATGGAGCTGTGCAACCATCACCACCTTCACTTGTAGAACATTCTCACTCTCCCCAAAAGAAAAGAAGCCTTTCTTGAAGTAGGATGTTCTTACCACTTGGCCCGAAGCTTCTGCCTTAACAAGAACCGGGTATTTTGCTCCAGCCTTCCCTATGTCCAAGCAGCTCTGGTGGTACAGTGGTTAAGGCATTCGACTGGTAACCAAAAGGTTAATGGTTCAAACGTAACAGCTGCTCCACACAGAGAGATGAGGCAGTTTGCCTCTGTAGAGACTGACAGCCTTGGAAACACTATGGGACCAGTTCTACTCTGCCCTATAAGGTCCCTGTGAGTCAGAATTGACTCCAACGCAGTGGGCTTTCCCTGTGTCCCAGAGAGAAGAGCTGCCTTCATCTCAGCTGGGAGCTGAGTTTATATTCTCCAGGAAGGCCAACTCTGCCATTGAAGGGCTGGCCCTAGACACCTCTCCTCCAGGGTCAAAGTGTGTCTGGGAAGTTGGGGGAGCCCTGTTTCAGCCGCTTCAGCCTCTGATCTCACGTCTTATCCTTGTGCCTCCCCAGAAGTACTACTTCCCCATCAACTACAGGATCAGCGTGCCGTATGAGGGGGTGCTCAGAGTCACCAACATCACCAGGCTGGTGAGGATCCTTTCTGGGCTGGGGGTGTCACATTGGTCTTGGCACACATCATGTTGCCAGGGGCCCTACCCTGTCCCTTGGCTGAGGCCCAGGGCTCCCTGCTGTCCACAGTGGACAGGCCTTCCAGGGTGGCTACAGCAGGGGCAAGTCCTGGGGGGTCGAGACGGGTGGGTCACAGGGGAGAGGGCCGTGTCTGGGCCTTTGATGTTTCTTCTGTCCCTGCAGCAGAGGGCCCGCGTGAGTGAGCAGGAGCTGCGCTACCTGTGGGCTTGGGTGAGTCTCAGCACCATCGAGTCGGTGCAGGATGTGCTGCTCCAGGACCACCCGTCCTGGAAGTACCTGGATGAGGTCCAGACGCTGCTGGTCAATGTCCAGCAAGGCCTCAGGGTGAGCTGCGCAGGCGTGGGGGCAGGCCAGCACGTGGGCATGTGTGTGCGCATATGTGCATGTGTGTGTGTATGTGGGAGAAGTGTGGCCAAGGGGTGGTGGGGGAGGAGGTGAACACATGGAAAGTTCCAGCATGTCCTGAAGGGTGTAGGAAAAATGGGGGAGGGTGTGGGGAAAGGAGAGACTGGAAGGAAGAGAAGGCCAGACTTGACGGGAGGGGCTCGCTGAGGGCAGGAGACATTCCTGAGACCTGGCTCTGTCTCGCCCTGGGGTCCTAGGCATCCCACTGAGCCTTTTGGACTTTGCTTCCATGTCCGAAAAACTAAGTTCTAGCTGCCTGCCTGCTGGGCGCCCTCAGGTGTGCAAACCGGCTGCCTGGAGCCACCCGGACTCCTGGCGACCCTGTGTCTGAGTGGAGTGGTGCTCGTGGCGTTTTCAGTGGCTTATTTTTCAGAAGCCGACCACCAGGCCTTTCTGCCAAGGTTCCTCCAGGTGGAGCCCGAGCTCCAGCCTTCCAGGTAGCAGCTGAGGGCATTAAGCAGCCTCAGGACGCAGGAGCCCCCGGGGGAATGTACGCTCTCCCCACCCCCAGCTGCACGCCCTCACCAGCCTTCTCAAGACCCTGTGCACACCTGTTCCGAGACACCCACCTGCTGCCCATGCTCAGCCTGCTGCTACCTGGCTCCTTGGCTCCAAGTCCCAGGCACCAGAGCCTCAAACACTGCCGTGAGCTCTGATTATAAAGGGATTGCAGCTGCCTAGAACTTTGCTGGAGCAGAAAGGTGGGAGCGTGTTCTGGTTCCCTAGTGCCGCTCTGACAAGCAAATACCACACATGGGATGATGACCTTAACAAATAGGAGTTTATTCTTATAATTTGGAGACTTTAAGTCCAAGTTAAAAGTGCCAGGCTCTAGGGGCTGGGTGAAAGCCCCTCAACCTTGGGGTCCAGCTCTGCTTCCTGCTCCCAACCCACTGGAGCTAGAGGAGTTTCTTCACTCAGACAGCTGCTGGCTGCTGAGGCTGAGAAGTCCCTAAGTTGACAAATCAAAAGGCACAGTCCCTATGATACCAAACCACACGGTAGGCCATTAACCTAAGTCTATTGTAAGTCCCAAGGTCGGCAGAGCATGAGAGACTGCAGAACAACGACACGGCTACATGCAAGGTCCAATCGTGCTATAAACTAGAGGCTATGCCCCAAGGCTTCTCCTTACATATGGGGAAGTGGACCACATCCCAAAGGGAGCTACTCAGCTGCTCACAGTAGATTCCACCATGGAGTTGATTGCCAGTCTCATCATGGGGAGTAACTACCACCAGCTGCCCAGCCACTCAGCCAGGCCCAGCCAAGTTGACACACAAACAGAACCATCACAGAGGTTCTCGCTGTTCCAGGCAGAGGTCAGCAGACCCCACGATTTCCTTGGCAGCTCTTTTGTCCCGTGGCCCAGTGAGTGATGAGCTCATCTGGTTTCTGACTCTGTGAGCCTTTCTGGAGGAGGGTTGGGGGCTGGGCAGGAGGTTGGGGAGGGCCTCCCCACAGGGCCTGGGACTGGTCAAGACCCTGGAGTCCTCTTTTTAAGAATATTGTGCCCATGGCTCTTTGTTCTTATTGGAGCAGCTTTTAAATCTCTCCTCTCTCGAACAGTGTGAGTAGTCTGTGACCCTCTCCGAATATGCCTACCTTTTGGAACTGATTTCATTTGTGGAAAAATCACCATTTTGACTTTCTCTTCCTTTCAAGTCTCGGGTGGTGGTGTGCTGTAGTGGAAGGGGCTCTGGCCTGGGAGTGGGATCCGGGACCTGGCTGTGTCTCTGCTTCTGGTCGTGTGACCTTGAACGTTTCCCTCCTGGGCTTCAGATTTATCTCATGTAAAGAGAAGGGGTTAGAGGAGTCCTGAAATTGCACTAGCTCTGAACCTGAGTCCTTGACACCATCTTCACCATGACGTCATCTTCCCCATGACATTATCTTCCCCGTGACATCATTCCCCCCCCCCGCCCCATCCACTTGAACTAGGCAACACCAGTGCCATTGCCTGGGCCTGAAGCCTCTGCCTCGCTCTTGTTCCATGGTTTCCTTGAGGTCACTGAAATTTCTTCAGAATAAAACAAAAAGGGTCCTGGAGACCCTGGAGGCAATCATGGAGGGGAGAGTTTGGGGTGCGTGAATTTGAGTCCTGGACCCTGAAGCAAGCCAGCACCCTTGATTGCCTGGTGGGTGGAGCTGTCTTTCAGACTTTCTGTGTGTGTGTGTGTAATTGTGGTAAATTATAGATAACGAGCCTTGCTGTTTTAAGCATATTTAAGTGTACCTACAGTTCAGCAGCGTAATTATATTCACCGCGTTGTGCATCCTTCCCCACTGTCTCTTTCCGAAAGTTTCGCATCACGTAAGTGAGCAGAAATTCTGTCAGCGTTAAGCAGTGGCTCCCTGTTCCTCCTGCCCCCGGTCCCTGGGAACCTGTGATCTGCTTTCTGCCTGGTTGAGTTTGCCCTGCTCTAGCTGTTCGTGGAAGTGGGATCATACACTGCCCTTTGTGTCTGGCTTGTCTCACTCAGCAGCGCCACGTGTTGAAGGCTCCTCCATTGGGGGAACGTGTGCCCAAGCTTCCTCTCTCTCTGTGGTGTCTCTACCCCCAAAAGCCCAGCCATTGAAAACCCTGTGGAGCACAGTTCTACCCTGGAACACATGGGGTCGCCATGAGTTGGTGTCGACTCTGTAGGTTTGTTTTTTCTCTGATGGCAATTCTGTGTTTCCTTCCTGCATGTGGATAGACAACATTTTGTTTGGTGGTTTGTAGATAACTGATGAACACCAGTTCCTTCCACCTTTGGGCTACTGTGAATAGCGCTGCAGTGAACCTTGGTGGACAAGTATCTATTTGCATCCCTGCTCTCAGTTCTTTTCAGTATATATCCAAGCGTGGAATTGCTGGGGAGCCCTGGTAGCATAGTGCCTAAGGCATTTGACTGCTAATTAGAAGGCTGGCGGTTCAAACCCACCAGCCACTCCTTGGAAGGAAGGTTGGGCAATCTACTTCTATAGTGATACCACCTCGGAAACCCAAGGAGAGGTTGCTGTGAGTTGGGTCCGACTTGACTGATGGCAGTGGGTTTGGTTTTTTTTTCTGTTTTGTGTAATTCCGGTCGTGGAAGCACCAACAGGCAAGAGAGCCCTAGGGAGCAGTTTCCACTCTGGGACCCACGGGGTTGCCTTGAGTTGGAAACAACTTGTGGCCGACGTGGTTATGGCTTTTAAAAAAATGGTAATTCTACATTTGTATGTCTTTCTTTTATGGTAATTTTGTTTAACTTTTTTTGGAACCACCAGACTGTTTTCGGAGGCTTTTGAAAGAGGGCCTCAGCTTAGCTGGCCTTGACTCTAGGGTCTGTGGACAGCACTGGGGCCCCGGAGTGCTATGGCCTCTCATTGGATGGGAGGACACATCTGTTGGGCAGTTGGCCCCCTTTCCCACCCACCATCCTTACTCACCAGAGTAAAAGTGGAAATAGTGCTGGCTGGCTACGTGACCCCCAGGGCCTCTGGATCCCTTATCCTCTCCCTACTTCCCCTAGTTTCTGAGGAGCTGCCGTGCCCACAGCTGGCCTCCTTCCACACCTCACAGGGGAGGGCAGGCTTCCTTAGGACCCCAGGAACCACCTCCAGGAAGCCCTCCTGCATTCCCTTCCTAGATGCCATTTGAGCCCCCAAACTCCCTTGTCCCAAGGGCAGCCTGGCCTCCCAACTTCAACCTACTCCCTCAAACCCCAGCCAGTCTTTGGAACTTTGTGGTCCAATCAGGCCCAAAGCCACTCTGCCTCCTAGATGGAGGAGGAGCATAAGCGAGGCAGAGAGAGGAGGAAGGAGAAGGGGGCTGGTCAGGGGACAGGAGGAGTGGTCAGCATTCACCCAGCTAGAGGCACCCCCCACCTGTGCCCAGCGGGCCGGGTCAGCTGACCTGTGGTCCTGTGGACCCTCAGGTGCACGGAAGTGGCCCAGGGCCCTCTGCTATAGGTATATGGCGCGTTTGGGGGCTGAGACGTGAAGGGCAGGGCCTACCAGGAGGGGCAGGAGGGAAGAGAGTGGCAAGAAAAGTATAAAACAGACTCCCCGGCCAGGCCGGTTAAAGAAGTCCCCTTCCGGCACCCTCTTGGGCATTTCTCAGCCTTTTTGTGGCTGTTGCCTCCTTCAGGACAGTCCTCTCAGTGTATCCCCACTCACCTGCCAGCTCATTCCCCACCATTAGGACCTGGGGCTCCTTCCTGTTAACTGTGAATAGAAGCTACCTGAGCTTGGAGTCAGAGCCTGGCCCTGCGGGACCTGGCCTCTCGGTGCCCTCAAACTAGGATCCGCCCCACTGTTCCTAGGGGTGGGTGGAGGGTCAGGGGTTCTTCCTGCAGCTCGCGGCCATGCTTGAGCTAAAATCGAGAGGAGGCCCCCAGCAGCTTCCCCCTATCCTGGCCGGTGGATACAACCATTTGTGCAAAGATGGACAAAAAAGAAGCCTTTGTGTTGTGCTTGGGTGAGCAGCGACCATGAGGGTGCTCTCAGGAAACCTGGTGCCTGCAGGAAGGAGGGTGTTGGCCGCAGGCCCTGCTCTGCCTGTGGCCGTGAGGAATCTTGTCTTCCATGATTCGCAGCAGCTCCAGGCTCCAGAGGCCCCCATGTGTCCCATGTGACATGGCTCTACCTCTTCCCTGGCTGGTGGTGACACCCATAGTCCTTACAGTGTCCTTCCTTCCAGGATGTGGAAACCAGCCCCAAGGTGGAGGCGGTGCTGTCTCTCCTGAGTGCCCCAGGGCTGAAGCTGGTCCGGCCCAAAGCCCTGCTGGATAACTGCTTCCGGGTCATGGACCTGCTGTACTGCTCTTGCTGTAAGGAGCTCTGATTGGATGGGGCTGGAGGCAGGACAGGCAGCCAGTGACAGAACTGGCACCTCCTGGGATTTCCTGGCACCTCCCCAGGGCTGCAGACCATTTCTGGAAGCAGAGATGGGCCGTGGGGAGAGGGCTTGGTCTTGGGGGGTGGGGCAGGGGCCCGCATTCTGAGGGAACGCGCTTGACCACACCGGCATTTTTCCCCCCCTGCTTCCCCCAGGTAAGCACAGCTCCCTCCAAATCTGGCAGGACTGCAGCGCATCAGGCCCTCAGCCCCGTGCTGCACAGCCCCCGTTGCAGTGTGCAGCCGCCCAGCTGTACTCTCCGCCCCGGCAGCCCTCCACCTCCCCGCCGGGCTACCCAGGGGCAGTGGAGCAGGTGAGGGCGCAGGATGAAGGCCTCCTGCCCTGACGGCCCGCGTGGTGCCCTGGGAAGGCAGCGCAGGGCCCTCGGTGCACAAGGACTCGGGTGGGCCTGAGGCTGCCAGGATGGCCTTGGGGGAGGAACCCCAGGCAGGCTTTTTTCCTTTGAGGGGATTCAGTGACAGGGAGGGGCTCAGGTTCCCGCCTTCCATAAGCAACATGGTCTCACCTGGAACCTTGTGGCCGGGAGCACCTGAAGGTGGATGAGGACAGAGCTCACGTTCCTCCTGGCAGCACCCTCAGTGCCTCTCCCTGCCTGGAACAGCCAGTTGCCCTGGAGTCTGTTTAGACTCATGGCGTTCCCCCACGTGTCAGGGAAGAACTGCACTCTGTAGTGTTCCATGCTGAGTTTTTGCGAAAGCGGATTACCAGGCTGCTTCTGAGGTGCCTCTGGGTGCACTCAAGCCTCCAACCTTTGGTTAGCAGCTGAGGGTGTTAACCGTTTGCAACAGCTGTGCCCAGTGGGCAGGTGGGGATGGGGGCAGTGCAGGGACCAGCCCCGCCTGGGTGGGGAGTGCTGGGGAGGGCAGAGCCACATGCCATATCTTGCCACAGTGGACGCTCTTTCAGTTCCTTTTTTTCTATTAAACATCCACTTTGTTTGGTTTGACTTGGTTTGCTTTCCATCTGAGGGTTAGCCAGGGGATGGCCCGGGAGCCTCTCTGTGGCCTCTCAGCCCTGCTCTCACTGGGTGGCCATGGGCAGGAGGCAGGTGGAGAGGGCTGGGGCTAGTCCTGCCCAGACTCTCAGCCCTTGGTGGGAGGCGGGTCCTGAGGAGTTAGAATGGATGACCTAGGAGCTCTGGTGGTGCAGTGCCTAAGGCATTTGACTGCTAACCAGACAGCTGGCGGTTCAAACCCACCAGCCACTCCTCGGAAGGAAGATGGGGCAATCTACTTCTGTAGTGATACTGCCTCGGAAACCCAAGGAGGGGTCGCTATCAGTCGGGTCCCACTCAGTGGCATATAACAAGGCCTGGTCCCGCCTTCCCCTGCCAACTCCCAGGAGGCCCTAGGCCAGGATCTGGGTGGGAAAGGGCTGGGTGCATGGCAGGCGAGTGAGAGGTAAGCACAGCAGGGGTGTTAATTACAGTACAACTTTATTAATACTGGAATCTTCACAGTGCATGTTACTTGTAGCAGTGACTACTTAAACCAAGGGGAGGATGGGGCAGAGGAGCAGGGAGGGGGGGCTGGGAGAAGATAATTTATCCAGAAACAAAAAGAAAAGAAACAAAATGGTTCAGATGGGATGGCAGGGCAAGAAAAGGTGAGTAGGGGCCAGAAGGGGAGGCCTGGGTGGGAGAATAAATTAAGAAAAGGGACAAGTTAACCACAGCACCAGAAAAGTTACTTCAGTCAAAAGACGCTTTTGAAAAGAATATTCTCTGTACAAAATGAAAAATAAAAAGAACTCAAAGAAGTCCCCCAAACCAAAGTCTGTGGTGCGGATGACTGGCTCGGATCCCAAAGGGTAGGCCTATGAGTTGGTTGCTAAGTCAAGGAGAGGGTGGTGGGTGGGTCACAGGGGTGGAATATGTACAGCCGCAGGGAGCTCTGGGGGGAGGCATGGGGAGACCAGGCTGGGCCAAAGCCACCCCTTCCCTGGGAAGCCCCCACCCCATGGAGCTGGGGCAGAGGGGTGAGCCGTGCCTACTTCCCACGGAGGTGGCAACTCTTCTTGAGACCCTGTGTCACACACCATGGGGAGTGGGCAAGGCCCCAGCATGCCCTCCCCTGCCCCTTCTCACATACCCTGCACCTCAAACCATCAGCCCTCCTGGGCAGGCCCCAGAGAGGGGCTGCCCTCTGACCTACACTTACAGGTACTTGCTTCCCCGCCCTGGATAAGCCAGGGGCTCAGGCCACCCAGGGGGCTTCCCTGGCTGCCTGGATCCCAGCCCTTCTTCAGCTCACGGCCCCAGAACTACCAAGAGCTCAAGCCTGGTGCTGGGAGCCTCTGACCAGCTCCATTCCTTCTCAAGACTGAGAAAAGCTTGCTTCCCTGACCCCGGAGTGGCCCAAGTCGGCTTGGGACCAACAGGAGCCCCTCCTTGTCCCTTGTCTCATGTGCTCCGACCTGCTTAGACTAGGGAGTGTGCTGGAGGTGGAGACCCCCTCCCCCCACCCTGCTGCCAGCACAGGACCAGGGCCTCCGTGGGCACCGTCTGGGGATGGCATCTCCTCTGGCACCAGAGAGTCAAAGCCAACCCTCCCCGGATGAGCCCTGGCCAGGCAGCTCCTGGGCCTGCAGCCCCTGGCTGGACCACAGCAGACAGCCCCGGAAACCCTGCTTTCAGCCCTCCTGGACCATGTTTTGGCTAAACTCCAGACTCTGGAGAGAATAACAGCTGCCCCCCCCCACTACCCGGGGAAGCTAGTTTTCCCTCCTCCTGCTGCTGTAGCCCCCCCAGGCTACCGTGGGGCCCTGCCCCTCGGACACTCACACTTACCCTGTCACTCCTCTCACACACCATCCTCGTCCAGAGTCAGCCCCACTTTATTGTGTTCATAAAATACACCCTGCCCACCACATACAACCCTGTACAACTCCAGCCCCACCCTGAAGGTGGCTGAAACTGTGATCCCAAAGTGCGACCAGAGTTAAAGTCTGACGTGTCCAGGTGAGAACTGGACGCCTGAGAACAGTCTCACTGGCTGGCCACATCTCTGGGCCCCCCATCCTCTCCCTGCTTTCCTTTCATTTCTGAGGGGCTGCTCTGCTTGCCCCCCCCCCCTCCAGTCACACCTCAGAGGGGAGGGGTGGCTGCCTTAGGGCCCCTGAGCTTCCTCAGCCTCCTCTAGGCAGTCCTCCTGCATTTCCTCCTCAGACTCCATTTGAGCCCCAAGGCCACTGTGTCCCAGGGGTAGCCAGCCCCCCAACTTCAACTTGCTCCCCCAAACCCCAGCCAATCTGTGGAACTTTCTGGTCCAATCAGACACTTTAGCTGACTGAGCCCCACGCCCTTCCCCAGCCACGCGGCCTTCCCTAGAGGAGCCTGTGAGAGGCCGAGAGAGGAGGAGGCTTGGTCAGAGCACAGTAGGAGGGGCCACCATTCAAGCCGCCCCAAGGCACCGCCCACCTGGACCAAGCCAGCTGAGCTGTGGTGCTGTGGACCCCAGGGCCCTCTGCTATGGCGTGGGGTGCGCTTGGGGGCTCGCTGAGTCGTGGGAAAGGCAGTGCCTGCCAGGAAGGAGAGGAAAAACAGTAGCAAGAAAAGTATAAAAACAGGCTCCCACGCCAGCTCGAGGCCTGCAGGCGTGTCCTGGTGAGACGGGTTAAGAAGTCACTGCTTCCTGTTGAAATCTAAGCTGGGCGTCTCTTTCGGTAAAGTGGCTTTGCCTGTGACTAAAAAAAAAAAAAAAAAAAAACCCAACCCACCAGCTCCCCTGGCTCTGCTCCCTCTGCGGCCCCTTCGCGCGGCCCCGCCCCCTGCCTGCCTCCAGCTGCTCCTGGCCGACCTGCCACCTGCTTCAGCCGCAGAGTCGGGGGTGACGCCATCACAAGATGCGCGGCGCCGACCTGTCGTTGGTGACGGTCCTGCGGAGCCGCACCCCGCGCCGGATGGCCACCAGCATGTCTTCGGCCGGGGGGTCGCTGGTGGCGGCGGGGGGCGGGGCGGGCGTCTCCTCCACTGGGGTGGCCGACAGGGCTGTGGGGAAGGGGAACTGGCCCTCGCCCAGGGCGTGGGCGCCGGCCACCAGCTCGCCGAGCTTCTCCACCAAGCTGTGCCGGTTGGCGGCCAGCTGCTGCTGCTGCTGCTGCTGCTCCTCGTCCCCCGCTCCCGGCCCCGCGTAGCCGGCGGCCTCCGGAGAGGGGCTGCCCCAGGCCGTGTTGGGCAGGCTGAGCCTCTTCGGGGAGGCCTTGGCCAGGTCCACTGCCAAGGGCAAGGCAGCCTCGTCGCTGTAGAAGACGCACTCCTCGCTGCCGGCCCGCGTGGGGCCCGCGTAGCCGGGTGAGTCGGGCACTGTGGGCGTCTTCACGGGCACGATGGGCGGCCGGATGGGGATGGGGCCGGCGCTGGAGAGCGCGCGGCGCACAGTGGGCTTGGTGGAGGGCGTGCGGCGGATGGTGGCCACGCCAGGGGGCGCACCCGAGGGCAACCCCGTGCCCGAGGCGGTGGGCAGCCCCGCGGTGGAGGCCGGGCGCTTGGTCTGAATCAGGCGGCGGTAGTTCTGGGCGATGTTGCTGTTGCGGGGGATGGTGGACGATTTGTCGAACTCCGGGGGGCCCTCGCTGTCCGCATCCCCGTTCACAGAGGAGCAGTCGTAGTCGGAACCTGGGGCCACAGGGTATGTTGAAGCCTGGTGCCGAGGTCCCCGGGGAGCCTGGGCCTGCCCCTGTCCCCGCCCCCTGGGCGCCCCAGCTCCAGAGCCCACCTTGGGAGGGAATGGTATCCTCGGAGCAGGAGGGCGTGGTGGTCTGCGTGCTGTAGCCACTGGAGTACTGCAGCGAGTCCCGACTGCTCTTCTGATGCTCCAAGCTCAGGCCCCGGGTCAGCACCATAGCCAGGTCACTGGCCGCCGGGGACACCTCCTCACCGTGCTGGGGGAGGGGTGAGACCTCAGGCTCAAGCCTTGAGGAGATGCCTCCTTTCCTTCTCAGCCCAGACCACAGGCACCCCCACCAGGTGGTCAGAGGACGCCATGAGGACAGCTCGCTGGGCCTCGTGGCATTTTCCTGGGGTGAAGCTGGGGCGTGGACTGCCTACCTTGGCTGCTATGGTGGCAGGGGACATCCGGGGCCGTGGCATCTCTTCCCCGCTGGGGCCCAGGGTACCTCCACCGGTGGGGCCCGGCTCTGCGTCTCGCAGGAGCTCCACGCGGTCCTTCCTGCGCTGCAGGCTGGTGCCGGCGGGCTGCTCATGGGGGCCAGCCTTGGACCAGTCCTGCTGGTGTGAGGGTCGGGTCAGGGCCACGCTGCCCTGGGCCAAGGGCCCTCCCTGTAACTCAAGACTCACAATGGTGGCTAGGGGCAGAGTCCCCCAGGCCTGAGGCAGAGCAGGCATTCCAGGAGGCAGTGATGTGGGTTGTGACTGCAGGGGACAGTGCTGGGTACACCCACCCCTCTGAGTGACACCAGGGCAGGAAGGCAGCGCCCTGGGCCGCCTCCTGCTGTGGGTGGGAGGCACTGACCGAGGTGGGAGAGCTGCACTCGCTAACAGACTGGCAGGTCTCCGAGGCCTCGGAGGATGCGGAGCTGGAGGACTTCTGCCATGCAGAGGCGAGCGGCGGTCGCACAGACAGACACGGGCCGGAGGTGCACAGGGCAGACGAGGAAGGGACGGGAGAGAACAGACATCGTCAAAGCGCCGGCATGCAGCGGTCTGGTCCAGCACCCGCCTGCGCCCTGCAGGCCGTGGCCACGCAGCGTGGCAGGATGCAGCCCCAGAGCACACAGCACAGACACTGACCACCCAACGCCCAGCCCAAGAACCACACATTTTTGGGGACAAAACAGCAGGGCTTGCTGCTGATGGCTTGGATGTGGTGTCGCAGGGACAGGGAGCTAAGGAGGGCAGCTGGGGGTCTGGCTGGAGCGCCGAGTTCTCAGAGGAGACTCCTCGGCCAAGTGTGGAGTCCAGAGCTCCGTCCTGCACATGTGACCATCAGCTGCCTACTCGGTACCCACGTGACACTGCAATGGAGGCAACTGTACTAGCCGGGCTGCAGTTTAGGGAGAAATAAGGGTTGGAGCCACAAACCTGGCAGCCATGGGACAGGACAAGGTCACTGAGACAGACACTGCAGTTAGAGAAGGGGTTCAAGGACCAAGCCCCAGGTGTGCCAACATTGAGTAGCTGGAAAGAAGAGGTGGATCCAGCAGAGGGGAGTAACACGGACCCAGGGAAGTGTAAGCAGCTGGTATCTCAGCAATCAGGTAGAGCACCTGTTTTGGGAGGGCGGGCCCAGCTGTGCTTATGTTCCTGGGGTCCAGCAGGCCAGGGTGGAGGGATGTGTGGTGTATCTGTCACAGGAGATCATGGAGACAAGAACTGTTTCATGAGAATGGGGCGGGGGGCGTGTACAGAGTGAAGAACCGTTTTACATCTTTATTACTCATGAAGGGCTCCAGATCACATCTGACAGGTTATGCCAGAAAGATCAGCCTGACCTCCAGGGAGGGAGGAGGCTGGAGACTGAGCTCAACCACATGGACAGGGATTCCATCAACCGTGCCTGTGTAATGAAATCCCCATGAAACCTCTGGACACTGATGCTCAGATGAGCTTCCTGGTTGGTGAGATGCACTGAAGTGCAGGACAGTAACATGTCCTTTGGGACATGGAGGCTTCTCGTCGGGGACCTGATTCCTTCTCCCTCAATAGCACCCTATGTGTCTCTTCTATATGCTGGTCTTGATGTGTATCCTTTATAATAAAATATAATCATAATTATGGACTTTCCTGAGTTCTCTGTTTTTTGAGTGAATGACCAGTCTTGGAAAGGTAGAAGGAACCCCAATCTGTAGCCAGCTGGTCAGACGTGTAGTGTCCTGGGAAACCCTGAACTTGTGGGAGGGGTCTGAAGTCTTGGGGTAGACTTGGCAGCCTGGAGGACTGTGCCCTTTACCTCGTGAGCTCTGAGCCAGCTCTGGGTGGTTAGGGGCAGAGGAAGAACCACATTTGCAGTTGGTGTCAGAGAAGACCTTTAAGGCTGGTGCCAGAAGACACACACTTCAGGGCTGGAGCCCTTTCAAGAGTGGACTGAGGTGTGAATGGGAGGCTCTAAGCGCCTGGCAGTAAGGTGAACCAGACACCCTAAGAGGTCCTCCCACTTCCAAACTACTAGATCCTGCATAAGATGTCACTCTTGATTTTAGCTTGTCCAGATTCAGAGAGAGTAAGAGATTCCGGAAGAAAAGATGTATCCAAGAGGAACAAAAAAAGAAGAAGAAGGAAGAAAAGGAAGAAAGGGAATACCCCAACAAGAGTAGAAACAGGACTGTGGTGCCTGCACCTGTGTGATGGGCAGGGTTTTTGAGGACAGATCCTGACTTCAGCACAGTGGCTGGGAGACTGGGCAAAGCGAGGAGCTCACTCTATGCCGAGATCAAGCCAGGATACTTGAAAGGGGATTGTAATACCCCCTGCTCCCAGAGATTCTCTAGCTCATCCTTGATTTAGACCCCTAGATTTTTCCCAGATTATGATGAACAGAGATCACCAACAGACAAGGACACAAAGCACCATAGGACACTCAGTGGAAATAATAAACAAACTTGACTTTCGGTGATAAAATTGTTAAATTACAAATTGAATGACAAAACTCCACACCTATTCACAAGCAAGTAAATAAATAAACTCCACTTAAAGTAAGAGTTTAATCTGATAAAGAGTATCTAAAATGTACTGCTACTTTTCCCTGTGAGGTTGGAAAAAGATACAGATGCTCACATAGGGATGCTCACTGTCACTATTTCTGTTCAAGATTAGAAGACCTAGTGAGTACAATAAAGTAGTAAAACGAAATAAAAAGATGGGAAGGGAAGAAATAAAAGTTATATTTAAAAATGACATGATTGTAGAAAATCCAAAAGAACCTAGAAATTACTAGGATTAACAAGTCATTTTAACAAGGTTATTGGATAAGGAAGGTTGGGCAATCCTACTTCCGTAGTGACACTGCCTTGGAAACCCAAGGAGGGGTCGCTATGAGTCGGGGCCGACTCGACGGCACATAACAACAACAACAACAATTGGATACAAGGCTAATACACAAACAAATCAACTATTTCTAAATACCAGTGACTACAGAGGAAAAAAACCCCTAAATAATAATAATAAAAAAATTACAACAACATCAATAAACATTAAATACCTAGGAATAAATCCAATGAAAGATGTGTAAGCTCTTTACACTGAAAGCTACAAAATGTTATTGAGAAACAGTATAGCCTATATAAAAGGAGACATATGCAATTCCAGTCAAAATCCCAGCAGGTTTTTTTAGGGAGAGGGGGGTAAATTGAAAGGTAATTTTAAAATTTATAAGAAAACAGAAAGGGACAAAAATGGACACATCAATGTTAAAGAAGCAACAAACCTGGAGGACTTTGATGACCAGCTATCAAGATTTTCTAGAAAGTTACAATAATTAAAACTGTGGTATTGGCATAAGGACAAATTGACCACTGAACAAAATACAAAGTCCAGAAATAACCAAACATATATAGACACCTGATTTATGACAAAGGCAACATTGCAGTGCAGTGGGGAAGAGATGGTCTTTCAATAAATTACTTGGGTCAAATAGCTAGCCATATGAAAAAAAAAAAAAAAGGATTTTAAGTATCTTGACCCCTACCTCACACCGCACACAGATAATCAATTCCAGGTGAGTTCCAGATCGAAATGAAAAAGGTAATTATAAAGGCTTTTAGAAGAATATCTTTGTGACCTTGGTAATGTATGTAAAAATTTCTCTGAAGGATATAAAAGCACTAACAGTTGAAAAATTGGATAAATTGGACTAGATCAAAATTAAGAACTTCTGGTCAATAAAAGACTCCATTAAGACGATAATAGGTTACTCACAAAATCAGAGAAAACATCTAGTGAAGGACTTCTACCCTCAATATACAAAGACAGCCTCAAATCAATAAGAAAAAGACAACCTAGTAGAAAACTGGGCAAAAGATTTGAACACAAAAAAGGATAACCAGCTGGCCTTTAAAAGATATTCCACCTCATTAGTCATTAGGGGAATGACATGGCACTACCACTATACACCCATCAGAATGATGTAGATGAAAAAGACGTAGACCACCAAGTGTTGGTAATGAAGTAATAGAAACTGTCATGATGTCGCTAAAAGGACTGTAAACTAGACAATCACTTTGGACAACTTTGGTAGTAACTACTAAACCTGAATGTATGCACATCCTGTAACTCAGCAATTCCACTCCCAGGTATGTACTCAGCAGAAATGCAAACTAGAGTGTTCATAGCTCCAAACTGGAAACGACCCAAATGTCCATCAAATACAGATGTGTTAAATAAATAACTGTGCCACAGTCACACAATGGAATGCTATTCAGTAATGAGAATGGTATACAACCACACACAAAACATGGATGAGTCTCACAAACCTAAGGTTGAGCAAGAGCAGACAGACATAACGGGTACGTACTGCACACGATTCCATGTATATAAAGAACAAAAACTGCAAAACAATGAAAGCTAGAACACAGTGCGAAAATCTCTCTAAAATACAAAGAGAAAATACTTACCATTACAGCAAAACTAACTTTTAAGAAAATGGACAAAATAAAGCATGTTTACAGTTAAATAGAATCGGAGTTTTCTCCAAATGTATTTGAAAGGACCTTATTACTTTAGAAGGAAGGAAAAGGACCTCAGAAGAAAAGTTTAAGATGCAAAAAGAAATAATATAGACATGTGTAAACGTATCTGTAAATCTAAGTACTGTATTTATAAAATAATAATGTTGTTGTTGTTATTTGCCATCGAATCGGCCCCAACTCATAGTGACCCCTCCTTGGGTTTCCGAGGCAGTATCACTACGGAAGTAGGATTGCCGAACCTTCCTTCCGAGGAGTGGCTGGTGGGTTTGAACCACCAGCCTTCTGGTTAGCAGTCAAGTGCCTTAGGCACTATGCTACCAGAGCTCCCAAAGTAATAATAGTAATCATGATATAAGAAGAAAAATGTCTAATTTGTGGATGCTATGAGAAAGGAGACAGACAAAATAGTTTACAAGCTAGGAGGTGACAGCAGTTAAAATATATTAAGATCCTTGAATTACTCAGGAGGTAGAAGAATGACTTTACTAAATAAGCATGACAAAGTTTCAAGGCAACACCTGAAAGAACAGAAACAGTATAACTTATAATCTAATAAAGGGGAAAAAGCAACAAAAGGTAAGGGGAAAAAAAGGTGCAGAAAAAACAGACTAGAAAAAGATAGAGACAGGAGTCCAAATATGTTAGTTATCATAACGTAAATGGACCGAGAAATACCCATTGAAAGACAGACGTTGTCAGATTGGATAAAGAAAGAAAATCTAGGCATTGTTGTGTACAAGAGACTCATCTCAAACATAAGGACATGGGTGTTTAAAAGTAAAGAGATGGAAAATTATAAATACTGAACAGAATAAAGCTGAGATAGTTGTGATATCAAAACAGACTTTAAGACAGAAAGTATTATAAGGAACAGAGAGGGTCAACTGTATGATAATAAAACAAGTCACTAGGAAAACTTAACCTTTTGCCACCAGAGCTCCCTTCTAAACTTGTATGCACCTAATAAGATGGTCTCAAAACACAGAAAGCAAACACTGATACAACTATATATGGGGGAGATATTGCCAAGTCCACCCTTTCTCAATTATTGACAGGTCAAGTAGATGGGAGTGAATGGGAAACGAAGTAGAGATGATCACTGTAGACAACTGTTTTTTGAGAAATTTTGCTTGAAAGAGAACAGGGTGTTGGAGGATGATGTGGGGCCAAGGGAGGGTGCAAGATGGATGATTCAGGAGCATATCTGTGTACTGACATGAATGATCCAGAACAGGAGACTGGCAATGCACTTGGGAAATCATTAGGCAAGAAAGTGGAGCATACGGAATGCTGAGCCCAAATGGGGCACTAGCCGTTGCTGGGGAGGGTCAGCAGAGTGGATACAAAGGCAGGCAGGGTTAGAGATTTGGCCATGGGAAGATAAAGGAGTTCTTGTCCAATGACTTCTCTAAGATGAGATCGTTGGCTGAGGTGTCAGGGGTATACGAATGGAGTGCTTACTCGGACACACACAGGATTCCTACTGCAGGTACACACCTCTGGGAACACAAAAACATGGGAGCCTCCCCCAACTCACACATACACTGAAAAACCACAGCTTAATGATCTGACAGTCATGCAGCCCTCCATAACATCTAACACACATTCACAGGGTGCCTGGTACCTGCCCCCAGCATCTAGGTGGGTTTGCCCATTCTGTGGACACTAGCCCCCCAGTTCACTGTGGACATATCCTATGTTATCCTTCACGGAGAAAACTCACTGAAGGCAGGTAGAAACCTGGCACAGAGCACAGAGGGGTTGGGGAAGCAAGCTGATAGGGAAGAAGTCTGCCCTGAGCGCCCTGGTGGGCTGGCTGCGGCCTCAGTGAGACAGACAAATGAAGGGGTGACAGCGCCCTGAGCGCCCTGGCGGGCTGGCTGCGGCCTCAGTGAGACGGACAAATGAAGGGGTGACGGCACAGGACAAAGGGAGGGAAGGCAAGATGCCCAGGGGCCAGGTCGGGGGTGTCACTGGGGACACTGCACCAGTCTCTGGGTTTAGAACGTGCTGGCCTAAATATGGGCAGAAGATGCCTGCACATCCTAGGGTCCCTGCCTTGTGCCCCATGCCTCATGGGGCTAGCTACTTAACCATAGTAAGTCTAAGCAGGGGGAGAGTCACGGGTCAGAGCTGGCCACTGCCTTCTCCTGATTCCTATGGCCACAGGAGGGGACACGAATGCAATGAGAAACGGGGAAGAAGTGACAAAAACCCCCTGCTGACGCTGCCTCGCCCTACCTGATGCTCACTGTACAGACACCGTGTCAAGACCTCCCTGAGCCCTCCTAGGCTCAGGTTGGTCACCTCTGTTGTGCTACTGGGGACCTCCAGGCCAGACTCAGAAGCTGCAGGTGGTCCCACACATGGACAGCCAGAGGCTGTGATGAGGCTGTGGTACCCCACCCGGGTGGGTCTCCAGCACCCCTCACCTGGCTGGTAATGTCTGAAGGCATGGGCGAGGGGGGCTTGGAATAGGTGGCATCCTGGGAGACGAAGCCAGAGTCATGAGAGGAGACGCTGGAGAGGCGGGCGCTGGTGGTGGCTGGCTGCGCCAGGCTGCGGTAGCGACAGGTGGAACTGGGTGAGTATGTTTGGGTGCCCCCAGGCCACGGGGCTCCGCCACCCTTGGCGCTGCTGCCGCTGCTGGGGGCACTGGGGGAGTGAAGGAGGGGGCATGGCAGCCATAGAAGAGACACAGGGTGTGTGTGGGGGTTGACAGACGGGGGTGGAGGAGAGAGGTGAGGGACAAAGGAAGGAAAAGACACTGTCAGACCAGAACGTCTTGAGACCTGGGTGCTGCTGAGGGGCTGGGTTCTGGGACAGGATGGCAGAGCGGGCGGCACCAGGTGGCTGGCCCAGCCCCACACGCCCCAGTCTCCACGGAAGCCACCATCAAGGCAAGCCCAGGGCAAGACCACCTCCCTGCCTCCTCCTCTGCCACAGAACAGTAGCCCCATAGGTTGATCATGGGGAAACGGAATCACCAAGCGTCGGTTTCCCAGTTGGGCTGGAACCAGACACAACTTTTTCCAAAAGTCCTTCCTCAAGTCTGGTGTCTGTTACGACTGTCTATTGGGGCGCCCAGGACATGACCACCCTCAGGTGGGTTTTGGGCCCACCACCACCCTCATCGTCTCCACTCCCTATAAGGTGTCCAGCCCTGGGCAGCTCACACCCCCTGTGAAGCCATTTCACTCTTGGGCCCCTCCCCTTAAGTGTGGCCCTGAAGTCCCCAGCTCCCACCTTTGGTCTGTCCCTCTGATTAACCCTTCTTCCTGTGACAGGCAACCGTCCAGGGTCTGAAGAGCTTCCAGCAGACCTGGCCTCTCCGCTTCCTGTGCCTGGCTTACCTCCCATGCTTTGGGTGCCCAGCCTCAGCTGGTTCTGGGGAAATGGGTGCCTGGCACAGAGCCTGGCCTCCCCCACCCAGCCCAGAACTTGCTCTGTGCTCACTACCCTGCCAACCTGAGGCACCTTGCATCATATACATCTCCTCCAAATTGGGCTCCAGTGCCAGATGCAGGAAGGGCTCCCAATCCTGAACCTGCTCCATGACTAAGAGGGATCCCTGACCTATCCTTATCTTGTAGGCTTTGAGGGCTGGGCTGGGCCAGGGTTTGAGCCTGTGGCAGCTGCCTGGGCACCAGCTCTCGGGAACCAGCCAGGCAGAAGTGCCTCTTACCTTGTGGCTGCAGCACAGCTTCTAGCAGCTCCCATGTCCATCCTGCCCCCACCCACCCCGGCCTTAGATTCTTACTATCTCCCTAGACTGCAGGACCTGTTAGGGCCCATGACTGAATGCTGCGATTTCATGCCTCAGTTTCTCTTTCTATAAATGGTGACACCACCATACCTCATGTGGTGTGCCAGGATTCAATGGAGAGTGCACAAAGCACCCAGCACGGTGCCAGGTACACACCAAAGCTGCTGCTGTGTGACCGCCCCCTTAACATGGGACTGAGGCGTAGTCTTCCCCCTACACTTGCAAGTTCCTTGGATGGTATAGAAGCTGTGTGAATTCTGGGCCCCAAAGCAATTCTTGATGTAGCGAAGGGAGGAGCTTCTGCCAACCCCTCCCGGGATACCCCCCTCTCCCACTGACCTGCACATGCTGGACTTCCGGGAGCTGGAGCTACTGGGTGATGAGGGTGGGGTCTGGTAGGACCAGCTGTAGTCTGAGCCCTTCAGGTCTTTGATCACCTGGATGGAGACATGGATGGAGGTCATGGAGGCAGTCCCAGCCCTGCAGAGAGCCTCATCACTTTCTTGGGCCCTGCCAGAGGGTGGGTAAGGCCAGAGGTCCCCACTAGAACCAGGCTCTAGGAAGTGGCCCTGGGGAGTCTGAGAGCCCTCACCCCAGCCTTGTCCTAGTGTAAGCTCCTTCCTGGGGTGGGGAGTGGGGGTGCTTTAGCAAGGCTGGGGGAGGCCCCTGGGGAGAGTTAGGCCTCTCTGATTCTCAGGGCCATTGACCCCAGCTGGGGCCAGGCAAGACTGACCATGACACCTCGGGTTCAAATGGGGGCTCTGCTGTGTCACCAAGTTACTTAGCCTCCCTCAATGTACTCATAACCTCGAGTACTCAAGGTACTTCACCTGCCTCAAAGTTCTCTTGTGAAATAGAGGCTGCAGAGCTGATGTGAGTGAGATGACAGGGGAGCCAGTGTGGGCATACAGTAAGTGCCTAATGGATGCAGTGGTACATTAACCGCTCCAGTGTGGTAAGACCAGGTGGGCAGGGGCAGCACAGGTGACAGGTGTGCTCGTTTGTGATGGGGGTCAGGTTTAGTAGGCAGCTTGTCCACATGTAGCCTGTGGTGGTTTTGTTTGGGTGTCAACTTGGCTAGGCCCGGTTGAGTGGCTGGGCAGCTGGATGTAGTATTCCCCATGATGAGACTGGTAATGAACTCCATGGTGGAATCTATTGGGAGCAGCTGAGTAGCTGCCTTTGGGTATGTGGTCTGCTTCCTGTATATAAGCAGCAGCTTTGGGAATGGTCTCTAGCCTGTGGCATGCTTGGACCCTGCATGTAGCCGTGTTGTTGCTCAGCAGCCTGCTATGCTCTGCCGACCTTGGGACTAACAATGGACTTAAGTTAATGGCCTGCTGTGTGGTTTGGTAACATAGGGACTGTGCCTTTTTACTTGTCACCCTTGGGGCTTCTCAGCCTCAGCAGCCAGAAGCTGTCTGAGTGAAGAAACGCCTCTAGCTCCAGTGGGCCGGGAGCAGGAGGCAGAGTTGGACCTCAAAGTTGAGGAGCTTTCACCTAGCCTCTAGAGCCTGGCACTTTGAACTTGGACTTAAAGCCTCCAAATTGTTAAGGATAAACTCGTGTTTGTTAAGGCCATCTCATTTGTGGTATACATTCTTGTCAGAGCGGCACCAGGTAACCAGAACAGAATTTGGTACCGAGAGAGTGGGGTGCTGCTCTGACAGATACCTAAAATGTGGAAACGGGAGCGGAGTGCGTCCTTGACCCGAGACCCTGGCAGAGAGAGCCCAGAATACGGCAGGACAGACAGCAAGAGACCGGCATGAGAGACGGCAGGAGCAGAGCCCAGAGACTGGCATGAGACAGCGACAGCTTTACCAGCCCACAGAGGAGAAAGCTTGATGCCTTTGGTTAAGCAGCTTCCTGGTGGAGTGGATTGCCTCCGGGTATTAATTGGTAGAAAAGATCGGCATGAAATGGAGTAGCAGGTTGGCTGGCCCATGGAGCAAAAAAGCCGAGTGCTTTTTGGGCAGGTTTTTTCAGTGGAGTGGGTTGCCTTTGGCATTAATCTGCAGAAGCTGAGAGCAAGGAAATGGAAGCAGGGCTGCCTCAGCCTTAAAGGTAGGATCATGATGTTTGGGGGTGGCATGATCACAGCCCCCTAGGTTTCAAAGAGCCAGGCCTTCACCAGCTTGGTTCTGGAGTGTGGGGTTGCTCCTTCGTGTCACTGGGAGAGAGCCATAGCCGTTGCCCAACGGTGAGGGGGCGGGGCTGCCAGGCCAAGGGGGAGAGGAACGGGGCTGCCAGGCCAAGGGGGTGAGGTTGCCACTTAAGAACTAGGGGACTGGAGCCACCCAGTGGAGGAGACCCGTACAGGTACCACCCTTTGAAGCTTTGTACAGGTGCTAAGTTGACAAAGGGTGGAATTGTGGTTTTGTTTGTGTGTCAAATTGCTATGACCGGTTGAGTGGCTGGGCAGCTGGATTTAGTATTCCCCAGGATGAGACTGGTAATGAACTCCATGGTGGAATCTATTGGGAGCAGCTGAGTAGCTGCCTTTGGATATGTGGTCTGCTTCCTGTATATAAGCAGCAGCTTTGGGAATGGTCTCTAGCCTATGGCACGCTTGGACCCTGCATGTAGCCATGTCGCTGCCCAGCAGCCTGCTATACTCTGTCGACCTTGGGACTTATAATGGACTTAAGGTAATGGCCTGCTGTGTGGTTTGGTAACCTCGGGACTGTGCCTTTTTACCTGTCAACCTTAGGGTTTTTCAGCCTCAGCAGCCAGCGGCTGTCTTGAGTGAAGGAAATGCCTCTAGCTCTAGTGGCCTGGGAACAGGAGGCAGAGCTGGACCCCAAGGTTGAGGGGCTTTCACCCAGCCCCTAGAGCCTGGCACTTTGAACTTGGCCTTAAAGCCTCCAAATTTTAAGGATAAACTCGTTTGTTAAGGCCGTCCCATTTGTGGTATATTCTTGTCAGAGCACCACCAGAGAAACAGAACATAGCCTAAGAGGGCACAGCTAGGGATTTCCCCATCTGCTCTCAGCCGGAGATCCCCATTGGGCCTGAGGGTACCAGCTGTCACCTGGGGTGTCACTCCCTGCCCAGCCCACAGCTGGTATTGGGACATATCTGGGTCTCTGCCCTCAAATGCTGTCCCCTTTTTTCCTCTACTCATCCCCAACCAAGGGTGGGCCGACCCCTCTCCTCCCGGCCCTTAGTCCCAGGGCTGGCCGAACCTGCTCGCTGGCTGGGGGCAGCTTGTGGGGCTCTGCGGTCAGTACCACCAGGTCGTCAATGATGCCCTGCAGGTGGGTGATCTCCCCCAGCATGGTCAGCTCACCGTTCTGAGGAGGCAGCAAGTCAGCCGTCACACCCTGCAGCCTGCTGGCTATCCATCCTGCAGCAACACTCCCCACCAGGCCCCTCCTTCTGCAACCTCCCCACTGACCCATGCTGCTGAGGGTTGATGGAGGCTGGGCCTTCACCACATCAGTCAATCAGTGCATAAGCCACAAAAAAGTAGCATATGGCACCTGACCAGGGGTCACTGAGAAGTGACCTTTCTTGGTGCTCAAAGGGTCAACCCTGGGCCCTGGCCCAAGCCACCGAGCCCCAATTCTTGGGACTCTCTCTCTCAGGGGACCTCTCCACTGGCACAACTGTGGCCAGAGCGCCCGACTGCCCCGGGCACCCACCACCACCGGCTGCAGGAAGGTGATGAAGGTGCAGTAGCGGCCACGTTCCTCAATCAGGGCCCGGCGCACTGCCTGCTTCTCCGTCTCCTCCAGCAACAGGTACATGTCATTGACGTCCTGCAGGGCGCTGTCCAGCTGGGGCTGCAGGTCTCCTTTCCCTGGAGGGTGGCGAGGAGAGGCTGCGCTGGGGATGTGGACCCGGCTCAAGCCCCGATGGTGGAGTCTGCGTGGGGATCAGGGGGCTGGGGAGGGCAGTCGGCACACTGGGGGCTTGTGGAGGGGTGGTCCCGTCAGAGCAGGCAGAGAGGACAGACAGACAGACACATACAGGGAAGATACCAAAAAGCTGCAAAGCTACCCAGAACCGGGAGGAGGCAGGGTGCAGACGTGAGCTCTGGGCAGCTCCAGAGCGGACACTGCATCAGCTGGACTCGGAAGCTGAGGGGCACGGCTGGCCCTGCAGAACTCACAATGGCTACTTCCATATCTAAGGGTGCCCCTTGCCTCGCAGATACAGTGAGGTGGGTGCCAGCAGGGCCCAGGAGAGGAGAGCTAGGCCTGAGGGGGCAAGGGGGTGTTTTCACGTGGCCATGACGCAAGGAACAACGCACAAAGTGACACAAAGAAGCAGCAGCGAGAGAGACAGAGAGAGGCGAGAGCAGGATGAGAAGGTGAAGGGACCTGTAGGGGAATGTGGGCTGCCCGGCGGGGTGGGGGCAGCCAGGGCCTGCGCCTCCACCCCGCCCTGGCAGCCTGACAGCCCCGGAGTAATCCCTCAGAGGCCTGTGCCCCAGGCCCCCGCCGCTGACCAACCGCCTTCCTGGCTCCTTCTTGGCCTGGAGAAGCTCCTTGCAATGGCCCTGAGCTGAGGGAGACAGACAAATGCGACAAGGACGGAGGAGCTGCTGGAGGGACGGGCATTTGACTTACCAAGTAGCTCTACAGGAAGGATGTGGGAGGAGGAGAGGAGGAGAGACAGAGAGAAAGAATGTGTGAAAGACAGCCGAATGGACAGAGCCGCTCCTGGGCTGGGGGCGGGGCCTGGCCACCTCAGTCCCCTGGGAGGGGAGGCCCTGAGGCAGATCTGGGGTTCAGGGCAGCTCCCTCTGTCCCACCCTGTCAGCTAGAAGGGTTCGGTGTGGGGACATGGCCCCGCTGGTCAGGAGAATGCCCTGGGGTTCCCCAAGGGTGTGGGAGTCAACCGAGAGGCCCCTGGGGCTGTGCCTCCACGGGGTCTTGGGGGCACTACCTTTGCGGGCTTTCTTCTGCAGCTTCAGCGTGTCTGACGATTTCTTTTTGATCTCGTGCCGGGCCCGTTTGTACTCTGTGCAGAGGGGACCAGAAGAGGCTGTAGTGGGGGTCGGGCCCTGCCGGCTGGGGGTGGGGTGGGTCTGGCCAGCCCTGTGGAAGCCCCGTCCCCACCTTTCGCATGGTCCTTGTCCAGTTGGTTCACTGACTTCTTCCAGTCCTCGATGCGCTCCTGCAGCGGGTTGATGAGGCTCTCCAGCAGTGCACTGTGTGCGAGCGGGGGCGGGCAGTCAGGGTGGCCTGGGTGGGTTCGCCTGCGAACAGCCCCCGCCCGCCCCCCGAGCCCACTCACTTGGTGAACTGCCGCAGCTTGGTCTCGATGCTGCGGTGGCGCATGCACATGCGCGTGAGCGCCGAGCCGATGTCCCGCGTGGCCCCTGTCGAGGCAAACGCGGGCGTGGGAAGGGGCAAACCAGAGGCCTCTGCAGTGCCGGCCTCACGCCACCAGGGGGCGCGCCGACCCGCGAGGGCCTCGCCCGCACCATCTTTGCCCCCACCCCCTTCGCTCTGCAATCCTGGGGCAGCGCCACTTGGCGATGGCCCTGCGGGGGTTTATCATTCCTCAATATTTACTGAGCTCTTCCGTGCAGGGCGGGCCATGCTAGTCTCCTGCGGCTGCGGGTGTCCTGGTATTCCCCTCTCCCCCAAGCTAGTAGGGACCAGTACCAGACTACCCAAGGCAGAGCCAGCAAAACCCCCCAGCCCTCTGGGAACACCTCTCCAGGTGTGCCCACCCAGGTGCGGATGGGAGTGCAAACTCGCCCACTGCCCTGTGTACCCCTAATCCTCTAATCCAGTAGTACTGGTCCCCTCGGCTCAGAAGGCAGAGGTGACCCCAAGCCCAAAAGGAAGGCTCCCTTGCCCCCTGTGTACTTCAGAAAAGCAGATGAGCTGGGGGTGGGTAGGAGGAAGCTCAAACTTCTGGCTAAACACTAGTGGCTGAGAGGATCACGTGAGTCACCCATAGCAAGAAGGGCATCGCTCTGAATATCCCTGGCCCTGCTCACCTACTCTTGCTTGTATGCCTCAGGGACAAGGAACTCACTTCTCCCCAAACTGCTCATCCCATTATGGAGCAGAACCCAAGATCCTGGCTCTGAGCCTGGCATCCTCTCCCTGGCCCATACCCCACCCAGGCTTTCCAGGCTCCCAGCCCCACCCCCAGCCACGCCCCCTCCCCACCTCGGGTGTTGGTGGCCATGTCGGCCACTTTCTGGAAGGCGTCCAGGAAGGCCACAGCAGCCAGCACAGTAGTCCTGGAGAGATGACAGTGGGGGTCCTCTGTGGGTATGGGGCCCTCTGCTGCCCTGCCCTCCCCAGTAGGGATGCCCTTAGCAGCCTCACCTCAGCTGGGAATGCAGCTTTGTGGCCTTGGAGTTGAAGTCCTCCCAGATGGGGTAGGAGCTCTGCCCGGGGAGATGGGAGAGGCAGTGAGAACTTGTCGGGGCTAGGGCTCCACGCAGGCAGGCTGCCCACATGCCCGCAGCCTGACTCTATCCCCGGGGGAAAAGATGAGAAGGAGGAAGCCTGGTCTGCGGGCAGGCTCTGCCTCACCCTCCCACCTGACGGGAAATCCACCCTGCTGTCTAGGTCCCTCAGGGGAATGGAAAGCAGTGGCCGGTAGGTGCGGTCTCCTAGGCTCCCCAGGGACGTGCCAGGGGGTCTTGGCAGAACCCCTTGAAGGGCATCCTGTCCCCCTGGACAGATGCTCAGGCTGGTGAGCACTGACCTGTCCACCTGGCATGGGAGTCAGAGGCAGTGGAGGGCTGGCAGAACTAAACAGGCGGGCCAGGCCTAAACAGAGGGCCCCTACCCTGTGCCCCGGAAGCTGATGCCAGGCCTTGCCAATATCCCAGGCCCAAGGAGGCTGAGGCTGCTGCAGGCCCGGCCAGTCTGCCCGGGACAGCCAGGCCCCGGGCTGAATGGGGCCTTGTGTGGCCAACAGAGCCACCTTTCTCCAGCCCTAGCCCTCCTCCCCTCCTGGGGGAACAGTGTGGGCTTTATCCCAGCCTGGCCGGAGGCTCTGAGTTGGGAGGGGGTTTCCCAGTAGGGAGATTGGGCTCCTGGTGACCAACTTGTCCAGTCTGATCAAGGGGCTTTTCTGGCTAACATAGCTGTTCCTCAACTGCTGGGTCCCAGAGAAACCTCAGCCAAGGCCCAGGGGCCTTGTCAAGGCAGGACGCCTCAGTCCTTGAAGGGGGGCCCTAGGCCAGCAAAGGGCTTTCCCCAGTGCGTGTCCAACCTCTCATGCAAGATGGAGCTCTGGGACTTTTCCTAAGGGAAGGGGAAGGCAGGGCTCAAGGGGGTTCTGCCCGCCGGAGCCCTGGGTGGGGGATGGGTGGGTGTTCGGTTGGGCCTCCCCTGCTGAGAGGCTGCTGCAAAGGGGGCTGTGTGGACAGGGGACAGGGCAACCTTCGGGAACCTCAGAAATGCCCTCTCCTCCCAGCCTGGCCAAAGCAGTACCCAGAGAAAGCAAATATTTGAGAAGTTCACACAGGCTGCACGCAGGAGGGGAGGCTGTGGGTGGGCTGTCTCCAGCTGGCACCGCTCAGGTTCTGGGGTCTGGGGGGTTGTCCTGAGCAATCCTCAAGTCCTCAGGAGCCTTCTGAAGGGAGCCCACTCCCACCACCTAGACTCCCCACCCACCTCACCCCCAAGCCCTGAAACCTTGCTATGACCTCCAGGGGGCAGAAAAGATGCTGAGGATGAAAGCCAGTTGTCCTGGTCCCCAGGAGACCTTCCCAGCCCCCTGTAGCCCTGGGCAGTGCCAGAGAACAACAGACAGAGTGGGGAGACATTCAGGAGAGCCAGGTTCTGACCCCATTATACCCCGAGGCTGAGGGCCCATCCCCTCATCCTCCCCGCAGTTGGCTAGATCATGCCAGCGCGGACCCTGACAACTCAGGTTCTCCAAGTGGGAAGGGATGAGAGGAGTGAGGGAGGCCAGGTCTGCTTGCCCGTTGAAGAAGATGGACCGGGACACCTAAGTCACTCAGGACCTGGTATTCCCCACTCCCCTCCACTGGCAAATCACAATGGACCCCAGAGAGTCAGGCCACGAGCTCCCAGCTTCTCAAGGCAGCAGCCCACTTTACAGATAAGGACACTGGGGGGCCAGAGGAGGAGTGCCCCAGAAAAAGCCATCCTCAGCCTTCACCCCACTTGGCAGCTTCTACAGCTAGTTTATTACCACCAGTAACAGATTTGTGAACCCACCAAATACTAACAGTCCTGTGACAGAAATATGGTCACGGCCCCATTTTACAGATGAGGAAACTGAGGTCCACTCAGTTAACCGACTTGTCCAAGGCCAGAGTGGCAAGATCAAGCTCTGACTCCATGTGTGACTGGTCGCTATGTGCAGATTGGCACCTGGGTGTCAAGGAGGGGAGATAGCAGGGACTGCAGAACTGCGAGGCCTGGTTGTGTCCCAGGGGGATTATGTCACTAGATGTGCCCAACAGATAGGGAGGAGCACTGTGAAGCTGCCCAGGTGTCTGGTCCTCTGGAGACGTGGGTGATGGTGGTGGGTCAGACATGGGCTGTGTAGGCAAGCCAGTCTGACTCCAGTCCCAGATATAGGGGCTTTCTGGGGGATCCTGGCCAAGGGCCCCTCCCTCAGCCTCAGTTTCCTCACCTGTGAAATCAGGACAGGAGCAACACCTCCATCACAGGGTCAAGGGTCAGTGTGGATACTCAGGAGGCACGGCACAGAAAGCACTTAGCATGTGCTGGCACCTACTACGTGCTCAGCTAATGCTGGCCAGAAGGAGAGGACATGCATCTCCTGTCTCCCCAGAGCCCCTCCCACCTAGCCAGGATTTCCCGCTCTGGAGGAGCCAAACACTGTGACCCCATTTTTCGGACGACCATGGCGTGGGGTGGAGGCCCCATCTGTTCTGCTGAAGGTGCCACCTGGGCTGTGTCACCTGGACAAGTCCCTGTCACTCCTTGGGCTTCGCTGGCTGCATGGCACCTGGGGGGGCATCTGTCCTGAGGTGAACGGAGCATGGATGTTAGGCCCTCCCCATCTCACCTGGCCCTGACTCTGTCTGAAGCCAGGGTCGAGGCCTCCTGGAGGCCTGTTGTAGGGCCTATGGACTTGCCAGTGGAAGGGCCTCAAGGGAGTGCGGTCTCCCCAGCCTGGCCGGCTAGCCAACTGCCACATTCCCTCTCCGTGGAAGTTCTGTTTGCTTCTCTGGCTCAGGGCACCCAGGGAATTGGCCCAAGGCTGCCCCCAAGATCCAGGTGATGGGTTTCTAGGTGGCATGGCCCCTTTCCTGCCCCACATGCATGCGTCATGGGCAGAGGGACATCGGTGCCTGTCATCATCCAATGTGAGATCACTCCCGTTTTGCCTCCACATGTCCAAAATCCTGCCCGAAGTCTACCCTGGATGTCTTACTCCCATTGCCCTCAGTCTGTCCCTAAGTTCCTTGCAAATTGACTAGAGTGGGACAGCCATAGTCCTGCTCCTCCTGTGAGTGAAAGCTGCTCTTCGCAGTGTTTGCTTCAAGGCGGCAGGGAGGTCCCAGCCCAGTCAGTTCCCAGGAGTGGCCAGGGGAGGGTGATGGGAGCTGCCTGGCCCAGAAAGGGATCCAGAGCAGGAGGTACTGCAGGACTGCAGAAAGGCCAGGACTTCTGAAGGCCTGAAGAAGGGGCCGGGAGGTGGAGTTACAAAGGATGGAGGGCACAGCTGGGTGTCGGGGAGCATGCATATGCTGCTAAGCCAGTGGTCAGAGACAGGGTGGTTTCAGGCCCGTGTCCCAGAGGGCTGGGACTTGGCAGCTGCCCCTGGGCTGTTCCCCTGGCAGGCTGGGGAGCCCCCAGCTGCACCATCCCCTCAGGGACACTGGGGTGTGGTGCTTCCTCCTGGGCTTGCAGTGTTGCTGTGGGATGCTGAGTTGTGTACCTGGCGAGCGGGGAGGTAGGGGCTTTCAGCAATTCCCCTGCTCTGCCTCCCCCCAACCAATCCTGCCCCTTCATCCTAGTCCAAGGAAGGGGGCCTGGCCTCCTGAGGAGAAGGTAGGCATGCTGGTCCCCGACCCACCCCCCATAACTGGAGCCTCTTCTCTGCCTAGTCAGCTGGCCAGCCCTGCCCAACTCTGGCCTGGCTGCAGGGAGAGGTTCCTCCCTGCCCCCCTAGATGAACAAATGAGAGACCGAGGTCCAAGACAGGGTCCAACAGTCTCCTTGATGACCTTGAGCCAGTTCTGGCCTCAGTTTCCCCATTCGGTGGGCCAGTAGAGAGCCAGGAGGTGGTGGCCTGCTTCTGCCTGACCTTGGGCAATGACTGAGGGTAGTGGGTTGGAGTAGAGACCCTGTGGGGGGGGAATTTCTGGGGGTTGCCCACCAATCCCAACGTTTCCCCCGCCAAGAGTAGGGCAGGGGTGTCCTTGGGAAGAAGGTACACTGGGACTGGAGACCTTGGAGGCCCATGGCTTCCTGGGGCTCGTGGGGGGAGGGGCTGGGTCTGGCGCAGAGGCCGAAGCTGGCGGGGAAGGAGTTAACGGCTCTTCGTTTTATTATTTTTCTCTGCTTTGGCAGTGACAGCATTGTCTGGGCTCTGGGGCCGCGGGAGGGGGTGGTGGTGGGGTGGTGGTGGTGGGGGTGGTGGAATGATGGTGGAAGGGGGCGGAGGCCGGCGAGACCCGGGACCCGTTAGAGGGCCGTAGAATCTCACGGAGCAAAATCCCATTCATGGTTTGGGGGTCTGGGGTGCGGGGCTGCCCGCGCGTGAAGAGGCTCCACTCGGGACCCCACGGGGGCGCTGCGACCCCGGACATCCACGGCACCACACGGACACCCCGACACACAGGCACCCCCCCCCCCAGTGGTCACCCGGAGACCCGGGTGCCCGGCAGAGGCAAGCACGACACGCAGCCAAGGACACACAGACACCGTGGCGCACGGACACAACAGGGCCGGCCGCCCGGCGCCACGCGTCCCCTGAGGGGGCACGCACCCGCACCCGCGCTGCCGCCCGTGCGACCTCACGGCGCCCCCGGCCGGCGCCGCCGCGGCCCG